GTGATCTTCTCTTTTCAGCCTCCCAGAATGCTAAGATCACAAGCATGTATCACCATGCCCAGATGTGTCTCTTCCTTCTTTATCTCCTCCTCCTCCACCTCCTCTGTCTCCTCCTCCTCCTCCTTCCCCTCCTCTTGGCCGTCCTCCTTTTTCTCCCCTTCCTCTTCCTCCTCCTCATTCATATAAGAGATTAAACACAGTTCTTCACACATGCTATGTAAGCACTCTGCCTCTGAGCTACATCCCTGGCTTGTACGGTTCCAATTGTATAGGTTTGTGCAGGGCATGAGCCGGTCTGTGCCTGAATTTTCTAATCTGCAAAATGGGAATAATCTCTCCCATAGCAGCAGTCATGAGATGAAAATGAGAGGGTTTGCCTAGCTTTGAGGGTCTCTTGTGGCTGGAGGAAAATCTGATAGAAGGCCTCTGGCTCCTGGGTGGATGCCCTCCCCTCTGCCGTGACACACCAGCAGGTGGAAGAGTGCTGCCCTCCCTGTCTAACTGAACCCATTCCCCTCTCTTGATCACTTTTTTTCTGCCTTCAGGGAGAAGGAGGCTCGAGGGGTGGAAACTCAAGGAAAAGCCTGGAGGACGACGTAAGTGCTGGCGGGAAGATCTGGGTTCCTGGTCTTGGGGGGTAAGGTCAAGGAGCAAGGTCCTGTCCTTTCTTGTGGGGCTTCCTTGCCTGCACTGCAGAAGGGCAGTAACCCATTGACTGGAAGCTGGGCCTCAGGCTGCGTCCATAAAAGCTCGGGGAGGGATGTGGGAGGGCTCCTCTGTGAGCCTGGCATGGTGGCAGACACTCTCAGAAGGGGTAAAGGGAACAGTTAAACAACGGCAAGAGGGATGGGGCCAGAGGAAGAGGACCCTGGGCTCTTGGGGGTCCCTGGATCTTGGGGGTGTGGTAGAGGATGTGGCTATTCTTGGGAGCAGGGCGGGAGTTGTTGGGAATGCAGCCTTGCATGCAGTTTAGCTGCTGGAGATTTGGGAAGGTGGGAGATGGACCAGCTGATGCTCCGGCCCTCTTCCCTTGTTTTAGTGGTGGTGCAGATGGAGGGGCAGATGCCTTCAGCAGAAGGGACCCTGCTGCAGGCAGGTCTGTGAGTGGCTTGTTTGTCTCTCCACCCTGTGCTAGACCCCACAGAAGTGCGCCCCCAGCTCACATTGTGCTGGCCTCTGTGCCTTCACTGCTGTTCTTCAGAGGAACAGGGAGTGGTTTTGGCGGTTGGCACAGGGGGAGCTGTTGATGGCATGGGGCCCTATCATCTGACAGCTGCCTGACCCACAGTGGGGAGGGCCCCGCAGGGAGGTGCTGGGAGCAGGAGGCAGCTCCCGCAGGCGACTGCACTGCTGCGCCCTGTCCAGGGGGTCCCACACGCCCGCACGAAGGAGCAAAGTTTTGGGGCCCGACCTGGGTGTCCAGGACAAGCAGGGAAGATGCCTCCCAAGCTAGCAGTCAAGGCTGTGCACAAGGTATGGGGCTTCCTCTGGGCACAGACAAGTGAACTGGCGAGCTCCCCGTCGAGGCTGGTGATGTTTCTGGGCCGGAGCATAGGGGACAGTAATTTGTGTGTGTGTGTGTGTGTGTGTGTGTGTGTGTGTGTGTGTGTGTATCTACTATTGAGGATGAACAAGATTAAAGTATGCAAAGCCAAAGCACGGAGTATGTGCTTAACAAATGTTGGCCATTCTTACTAATTTCTGCAATTTTGGTTAGGGGCTCAGAGTTGGGCCTCATGACATCTCTGTTGCTCACGCTGTGACTGTATTTGTGAGGAAACGGAGGCTTGAGTGGCTCCGGCAATGCCACGCCTTCCCTTCTTGGGATGCTGCTTGCACCTGGTGTCATCAAGGACTCCCGACCCTTCACCAGGGGACAGGGTGATAGTTAGAGCCGTAGGTACATTTAGAAGCCACATCCTGCAGCTCCCTATACTGCCAGCCTGGGCTGGACAGAGACTAGGCACTAAAGCCACAGGAAGAGAGAATGGGTTAGACATCATGGAGAGCTGCTGCTGACGAGGGCCTGTGTGGTCTTGGTCCCACAGAAGAAAGAGGTGGCTGTCTAGTTGGGATTGAGGGCTTTCACATGTGTGCATGAGGGTGGGAGTTTACTACATCCCCGGCCCTTTTTATTTTTTATTTTGAGACACAGTCTTGCTAAATTGCTGGGTTGTCCAGGCTGGGTTTGAATTTGGTATCTTCTTGCCTCAGCCTCCCAGAGTGTTGAGCTTATAGATGTGGAGCAGCACACATGGCTCTAAAAAGTTTTGTTGATCTGGATGAATGGTGTGTTTGTACGGCAGGGTGTGTAGTGGTGGCATCTTGCCTGGAAACGGGAGGAAGGAATAATGAGGCTGACTAGTCAGCTAACGGTGTGTGTAGCAGTATAGGCAGGCAGATTCCAGGCTGGCTTAGGTATTGTAGGGAGGACAGGGAACCGCACGCGTGTGTATGTATGTGTGTGCATGCGCGCACTAGAGATTGAACCCCAGTAAGGTACCTCATGCATGCTAGGCAAGAATTATATAACCAAACTCTGCCCCAACCCTTTAAATTTTTTATTATTTATTTTCATGGTAGTGGGGACTGAACCCAGGGCTTTCTTACTGAGTTACATCCCCAGCCCTCTTTTTTTATTTTTATTTTGAGGCAAGGTCTCACTAAGTTGCCCAGGCTGGGATCCAACTTGAGATCCTTCTGCCTCAGCCTCCCGAGTATCAGCTGGGGCTACAGATGTGCTTCCTTGTATCCAGCTAGGAGACGCACTTTTAAGGCTCTTAGACACCTGTTCCAGGTTGGATGACCCCGGGAGCCATTGGGCAGTGCCTGATCAGCTGCCGTGCTATCCTGCAGTCCACCCTGGGAAGGAAGCCTGTTCGCCACAGCGTGCTTGTGACGGTGCTTGCAGCTAGGATAATGTGCTGTTTGCTGTGCTATTTCCCTGACTCTGGCCTGAGGCCCGGGACGCACCGGCACAGGATGGCCATTTCCCTCTGCCAGAGGTGATGTGGAGTGGAGTTTATGGATGGTATGCTCTGTCGCACTTTGTTTTGGAAAAATCCAGGCTGGTGGGCAGGAAGGAGAGGGGAAGGGGTGTGGCCAGAGGGGCTGGGGCTGCTCAGGGCCCCCTAGAGGACGTATAGGAATGGGGATGGGCCCCTCACACAGGCTGGTTGCCACCTCAGGCTGCCTGTCATGGCTCTCTCCTCCCAACTGTGACCCCTGGGGACTCAGGCTCAGGAAACAGCTTTGCTTTTGGTCCAGAGTTGTTATGTTTGGTCTGTGGACCTCAAAGGAAGGCAGGACTCTTCCCACAGGGCATTGCTTCAAATCAACCCCACCCAAGGCTCGAGCTTCCCACCCTTGCAGTAGGGAGAGGAAGAAGGCAGTAAATAACAGAGCCTAGGGGGCTAATCTTGAGCCACCCAAGAGTGTCGGCACCCACCTGAAGCCTCGGCTGGATCTGCAGCAGGAAGGATGAGGGTTAGATACCAGGAGGAACTTCCTGACGGTGGGAAAGGCTGTGGAATCTCCTTTTACAGAGACTTTTCAGCAAAGGCGACTGTGTTTGAAGATGAGGATGGGAGGGCTCTTGTTGGTGCCTAGGGAGTTGGATCAAAACTTCTATTATTGGTCTTAGACTTGGGAGGGGCTAAGAGGAAGTTCAAAGCCCTGTGGGTTAAAGGCTTTCAAATCTCCAGAGAGGAAAAGCTTAGGATTACAGGCAGGCAGAGAGTTTATTTTTACTTTAAAAATAAAGCCAGTAAAGTGCTCCCTAGGGACTCTGAGTGGAGTAGGTAGGAGGTGCTGCGAGCATTGTGTTGTACCCATTTTACAGATGGATAGCTGAAGCCACACTACTTCTCAGCCTAGCCCTGTTGCTGAGTGGCTTCTCTGTAGGGTGTCTGCTCTCTGCAGTCAGGCCTCATCCCCTGCGTTTCCTGGTGCCTAGTGCTTGGCCTGGCTTGCAGCTGGGGCCCTGTGAGGGAATGCTCACCATGATCAGGCCCGGAGACGATGGGTGGCCTCGACTTGGTCCAAGCCCTCTATGATAGTGCTGCCCCTGGAGGCATGGTGTTCAGCCCAGAGGTCACCTGAGCCTTTCGGGGCATGAGGGTGCGCTTTCACCCCCACCACCCGCTGCCCCGGCCCATCTGCTGGATGAGATCTCCGAGTGGGGCCGAGAGCACCAGCATGCAGTGTCTGCGGAGCACATTGGCTCCCTGCTGGCCAGGCTCACAAGCCCCCGCTGCAGAAAACAGGAAGCCCAGCAGTTCGAGGCCGCCCAGTGATTCATTAGGGGATGACAGCCCAGCTGTTCGTCCCTGTCCTCTACGGCAGGTCACCGTCCGGGGCAGCTTCCTCCCCCGCCCCCTCCTTGCTCTAGCCCCCCCCCCCCACTGGTGGAGCAGAGCAGGCTTGGACTTTGCCTTATCACCTCGGGGGGTGGTGTGGCCAGACTGTGCTTGGGCCAAGTTTGTATTTATCTGCCCTGGCTTTTCTGGGGTGGGGAGGCTGAGGAATGTGGAGTGTCATAACGTTTGCAGGAAGGTGGTGAAGAACGGCAGCCAGGTCTCCCAGCTTTCTCGTCCTTTGTCCTCCTCCCCTGTGCCTTTGGAGGCTCCCAACTCCCCTGGGCTCCCCAGTGCCCAGGCCAAGCCTGCTTCGACCCACCACACCGTGTCCCTCTGTCCCTGTGCCCAGATCCACGTTCTTGGCCCAACCTCAGACCTTGGCTAAGTTGTGGCTTCCAGTTGTTCGAAGCAGCTGTGGTGGCTTCCTCCAAAAGTGGCTGTGGATCAGCAGCAGATGGAACCCGAGGGGCTATTTATAGTAGGGTGGCCCTAGGGCCTGGAGCAGGGCCAGGGCCTGGGGAGAGTCAGGGACTCCTCATCAGGGACTGGGGAAGTGAGATGGATGAAGTGTTGGGTTTCTGTGCTCCTCTGGGTGGCTAGTTTTTAAACAGCTTGGTTAGGGACTTGAAAACCAAACACAACCCCTCTGGCCCCTCTTCCTGGTCTGACTCATGCAAAACCGAGGCCCTGGGCCAGCAGAGCTGCTGAGACTGAGGAAGGTTCCACCCGACAGGCCCATTTGGCTCTTGGCACCTTGCTCTGCGGCCACTGCTGAGCCGTTCAGAGCTGGAGGAGCCCAGGCAGGGACTCTGGGCGCAGCCTTCTGAGGCCCACCCGCCTGGGGTGCTGCACCGAGAGCTTTCCTCTTGGCCAGTCACCCTGACCTTGGGCTCAGCTGGGAGCTGGGCCTCAGTGCCCATCCCTGCCTCCTAGGCACTGCAGCAGGGGTCTCTTGTGCTGGGGAATCTGTGATTAAGGCTTGGCTTGGAGTGCGAGTCGTGCTTGGTCATCAGCTTCCCAGGGACTTGGGGGTGAGTCACTGGGTCCCCAGTGTTTCTTCTCCTTGGTAGATTTCATCTTCCAAGAGCTGATTGCAACTTGGCCATTGAGGTTGGCAGGTTTCTGGGGGGAGCTGATGGGCTTAGAGGCCCAGCCTGGGCCTGAGAATCTGGACACTGGGCATCTCAGCTCTGCATTTTGGGAGGTGGTGCAAAGGATGGGCAGCTGCTGGTGGGAGCAGGTAGCCAGTTGTGACTTCCTACAGGGGTGAAGGTTGTAACCCTCCTTTCAGTTACTGCTGTCTTAATTGTACTTGATGTATAATAGCAACAGCAAAACTATCAGTCGCCATTTATTAAAGCCAGGCATTAAGCAGAACTTCTCAGCTCTGTGATCTCCTTGCATCCCCAGGCAAGCCCTGAAGTCTCATCTTGCGTGTGACATTTCAGTAGGCTCAGGGGGTTAAGTCACCAGCCAGGCTGCCCTGCCCAGCAGGATGCTGAAACCCAGAGCCCAGGGCCTGGGGAGCTGTGTGACACCTGTTGCTGTGGGATGGGGTCTGCCACACCTGTTTACCTAATTTTGTACAGTCAGCATCCCAGGATGGGAGTAGATGGGGGAGGGTAGCATCCGCTGTGTTCTCAAGGCCACGGCTCACCACGGCTAATACGTGATATACTGGGCCATTCTGTCTCAAGTCACTTGACTGAATGACCCGCTGCTGCTGTCACCGCTTGCAAGGAGGGAGGGGAGTGTGGGGTGACGGTGGTGTCTGAGAAGTTGGCTCAAGAGCTGCACAGAGGGAAGCCACGCTCATCTTCCCATTGCTCTCAGGGGGCACTGTGCTGACCTGCTTGGGCCATCACTGAGGGGGTCCAGGGAATCTGAGGAGATGTGTTGATGGGTTTCTGCTGATTTAGTGGCTGTTACCTGAGTCCACAGGACAAGGCTGGGAGCATTTCTCAACTGGGGAGGGGTTTCTTCCTTCTGTGCCTTTTGGGGCTGCGCACGGGCAAGCGTGCTCATGTGCAATTGGCATTGACTGCGTTTGGCTCCGGCTGCTGTGCTGCTGGAACAGCAGGGCTGGAGTGCCAGCAGAGAAAGCAGAGGATCTGTGCTTGTCCGCGGCCCTGACGCTCCTATGTGCTGCTCTTGCTGCTGCCCTCCTGCCCGCTCCCAGTAATGCTGCCTCTTTTCTCTTTCCAGGGAGCCACTAGAGTCCCACCAAGTGTCCCACCAAGTGTCCAGCCTCTTCCACAGCCCATCAGGTAGGCCTGGCCCACGAGGGTGTGGCATGGGGTGGAGGCCCACAGGCAGGGGTCATGGTAGGTGCTTTTCTTGTTTTATGCTTGGGTCACCAAGATCAAAGCCGTCAAGCTGCAGCGAGAACGCATATGCAGGGAGATGGGCCTTGGCAACTGTTATGCGTTGAGTTCCGCCACTAAACCTGACCTTGAGCTGGATTCTTTATTTACCTGCATGAACTCATCTAGGCCTTGCCACACAGCCTGGCAAGGTACGCTGGCAGACAGAGAAACAAGTTGCAGAGGGACGAGGTGGGTTGTCAGAGATCACACAGCCTCCCAGAGGCAGCACTTAGGAGACTGGCTGGCCCTGAGGCTGTGCTAGCAGATCTCATCCTTTGCAGAGGTTCGTATGGGGAGGGGGGATGTTTGTCAAAGGGAGCTCCTCTATGTGGGGACGGGGTGCTGAAGGGCTGTACTTGTGTCCAGGGTCTCTGCTTTGGAGCACCCACCCACTGAGTCTTCCAAGGTGAATGAGAATGCTGGCCCTAGCAAGCAGCTGCAACCCTAGCGATGGTGGTTCAGCTGCCTGGGCTGAGGTGGAGATTTAGATGACCACTTCCCTGCACCTAGGAAAAACTGGGAGCATATGGGGTGCAAGGCTGAGACTGCCCAGCTGGTGGCGCTGTTCTGTCCTCATTTTATTCCTCAGGGAGCAGCTTGGGGACCTGGCAGATAAATGTCCAGGGTTGGCTCCATCTGACTCATGCCTGTCACCACCATTTCTCCTCTCACTATCTTACCAAGCTGGCAAGATGGGAGCTGGGCTCACAAGTTGTCCTAATAGTGCTGTCCCTTCTCAGGAGCCAGGACAGAGGGATACTGTGGACAGTGACAAGACTGGTCTAGTTAGCTAGTCTCTCTGCCCTGGTGCCCATCTTGGAAGTTACAAGTGCCTGTGGCTCCCTGTCCCAGCCTGCCCTTGGGTAGGCAGGGGCCTGAAGGCAGAATCCCGACCGCATGGCTGCTGGGAGAAATTTATCCCAGGGACCAGGAGTGGCCAGGGCACAAAGGTCTGACTCATACTGGACTCCATAGCCCTGGCCTCTGGTACCACTCAATCCTGGTGGAGATCTGGATTCTCCCAGGCCCCTTGCTGCCCCCGGGCTTGTTCTCACCATCACTGTTAAACGCCTCTCCAGTCTGCACTGCACCCTGTCCTGGTGGGAGGCTAGTGAAATGGAATCAGTGCTGGCCACCACTGATAGAGAGGGAAGCCAGGGGCTGGAAGACAGTGGTGCGGTGACAGGGGTGTGTGGGGGTGCCTCTCGGGCTTCACTAGTGGGCATCCTGGGCCATGCCCTGGAGAAGAAGCCAGGCCATGTATAAAGATGTGAGGTCCTAACTCTCCCCAAGCGCCCAGCTCAGTGGCCTGCTTCTTCAAGGAACTGCCCACCACAGCCTCAGCGAAGACCCTATGTCCTTTCCTGGGCCCTTAGAATTGGGGGTGCCATAGCCACGAAGCAGCTGTGGTAGGTAATAGGAACAGAAAAGCAGTCAAAGGTGGGGAGACAGCCAGGGCCAAGGGCAGGAGCCAGTCTGCCTTAAGAGTACACATGGTGGTCTGCCTTGCAGGGACTTCAGGTGAGTGCATCACCTGCGCTGTCCCCTTGCTGAGAGGCCTCATACTCCCTCACAGCTAGCAAGCAGGGGAGGCAGCTGAAGTTTCCACTCAGATACTGGAGAGCCCAGGCACCCCTTCCTCTTTGGAGCTGACCTTGTGTCCTTCGGAAATTTCTCTGTTGCCAGGAGGGTGTGGTGTCCAGGGGCAGGGTGGGCACTGATCTGACCTCTGGAATCAAAGGATGACAGGAAAGGAGAATTGGGGTCCTCACCCCATTGGGTTCTGATGTGGCCTGAGGTATGTGCCGGCTCCAGCCCAGCTCCTTCTGTATGGTGCTCAGGCCTTACCAGGGGGAGCTCTGGGGCTTGGCTGTGGGCTGGAGCATGGGGCAAGCTCCTGGGGCTGAATGTGGGATCATCTGTGACGTGTTGAGGGTGCAGATAGCGGGGGCTTGCCTAAGGCACTGGGTTCTGATCGGGTCTCCTCTGCCACGGTCTCCCTAGAAACATGAGTGTGAGCCGGACCATGGAGGACAGCTGTGAGCTGGACCTGGTGTATGTCACAGAGCGGATCATCGCCGTGTCCTTCCCCAGCACAGCCAAGGAGGAAAACTTCAGAAGCAACCTCCGGGAGGTGGCCCAGATGCTGAAGTCCAAGCACGGAGGCAACTACCTGGTGAGGGCAGCGTTCTGCTCTTCCTCGGCCCAACACCGCTTCACTGCTATGGCCACTGCACCTGCTGGGCCAGTGCTCCCTCCTCCCTTGATTCACCTGGGATCTCTTCAGCCTGGGCCCTCACTTTGGTCTTCTCAAGTTGATTCTAAGGAAGACATCTGTAGCGAGTGCAGTCTCTCTCTCTCTCTCTCTCTCTCTCTCTCTCTCTCTCTCTCTCTCTCTAATGCAGGAGGGAAGCTAGCTAACAAAAGTTGATGCAATGGAGGCTTCCTGGGACCCAGGCCCTGTACTAAGTGCTTTGGCTTTCATGAAATCCCTGGAAAGCAGGGCTGACCAGATCGCTCAGCAGATTAAAGTGCCTGCTTAGACAGATGCAAGGACAGGGGTTAGATCCCCAGTGTGCTGTGCCAGCCCTGCCCCTGGGGCGCGCTGAGACAGGACTGAGACTGGGCATAGTGGCACATGCCTGTAATCCCAGAGCTTGGGAGACTGAAAACAGGAGAATCACTGAGTCTGATCTGTGTAGTAAGACCCTGTACTAAGTACATTAAAAAATAATAATAATAACAATAATAAAAAAAATTCCTGGAAAACAGACATTTGCTGCAGCAGAGAGGTAGGGTGATTTGGCTGAGGTCACAGGGTCTGGAGGTGGCAGCGTTAGTGGATTGTTGGTGTCTCTGAGAAGTCCTTGGCCAAAAATCATGGCCATGTATGTCTTTGAGGATTTTGTGGCTGGCCCAGAGGACATAGGTGAGTGATAGGGCCTGTGGAGGCCGCTAGTGCAGAAAGTCTGGGCCCAGAGAAGGGTCTGTGTTCCAGGGAAGTGCCTGTGGGCTAGGCCAGAGGCTGCCCGCCGGGCTGCAGAGGTCCGACAGGGAAGCCACATGAGTGTTCCAGGGTCGCTGACCATGAGGTAGACAACCACAAATTGTGTGGTCTACAAAGGGGGAAATCGATTCTTTCCCAGTTCTGAAGGCCACCAATCTGAAGGCAAGGTGTGGGGAGGGCTATACTCCTCTGTATTCCGGGTGGGAGAGTCCGTCTCGCCCTGTTCTGGCTTCTGGAGGCCCCCAGCACTCCTCAGCACTTCGTGGCTTGTAGCTGTACCAGGCTACTGCCTGCCTTCATCTTCATATGGCTTTTCGCCTGGATCTGCCTGTGTCCTCTTACTATAACGCCATCCAGTAATGGATTCAGGGCTCACCTTACATCTAAGATGATCTTATACCAAGGCCTTTAACACTTACAGAGACCCTGCTTCCCGAGCAGATGGTGTTCTGAAGTGCTGAGAGGGCATGCATTTTGGGGAACACTTCAGGCCACTGTAGAATCACCCATCTGTAGTGCTGGGGCGTAGCTAAGAGCTTGCCTTTAAACATCAGAAAGTCCTGGATTCCAGTTCTGTTTCTGTGCTTACCATGTGATCTTGGCTGCTTGGCTTCTTCACTAAGCCTCAGGTTTCCCATCTACAGAATGGGTCTGGTGACACGTGCTCCCTCTTTACAGCTGGTGAGAGAATTACGCAAGCTGTGAGGGTGTAAAGCCTTTAGCATGGGGCTGGTGGGACACTTGCTGAGAGTTAGCCACTGCGAATGGCACAAGATGTGCCCGTTTTGGGATGCAGGAGTGGCCTGGAAGCTGCCCAGATCCTTCCTGATTCCAGGAGTGCAGAATTCTGTGGGTCTCTGCTCTGCCACGGCTCTCTGTGTCTCTGGACTGTCTTGTCCCAGTAGAAGAAATAGTGGTCTTTGAGTTTCCGGGGCATTGGCTGGAGGTGGAGAATTCTGCACATCCCTTTGGAGGTGGGGAGAAGAATGCCTGAGACTGGGGAATCCCTGGCATCTATGAATACACGCTTGGAGCCATGTGCCGGGGGTCTGAGAGGGCCCACCAAGGATGTCTGCAGCCTCTGATGGAAGGTGTGAGGTGACTGAAAAATTGTACTGTCCTGGGATGAGATTCTGAAGTCATCCCTGGGTCTGGTTCCATCTCCTTCGCAGTCACAGTTATACGGGTACACAGTGGAGGCGGAGCCATGTCTGCAGCTCTCTGACAGCTGTTTGTGCTGGGCAGCCTGTATTGTGGGTGGGTGGTCTTTCTATCGGGGAGGGAGTCAGGGAGAGAGAGAGAGAGAGAGAGAGAGAGAGAGAGAGAGAGAGAGAGAGAGCCAGGGCCCTCGCTGTTAGACAGAGGTCAGTGCCACTCTGTCTGACTGTGCAGTGGGCTCTGCAGAGGACCTAAAAATGAGACCAACAGCCCCACTTGACGAATGGACATCCTTGCCACATCCCTCTTCTTCCCAGCCCTCTGCCCTTGCTGCTCACAGGCTCTTTCTTTGCCTCCTCCTAGCTGTTCAACCTCTCTGAGCGGAGACCCGACATCACGAAGCTCCATGCCAAGGTGAGCCCGTAGCTCTTTTGGGGTGACATCTGCTTGCCTGAAAGAGAAGGGAAAAGGTTCCTGCACTGAGATCTTGGGGAGTAGCACTGTGACAGTTGAAGCGCTGTAACTATTCAGAGTTCAAATGCATCTTACACCTGAAAAGCGGGTGATAGCACATTGATGGTTTCCATGACGCCAATCACAGAAAACATTGATCTGTGCGGTGACTTCCTATCCACACTTGTGCCCTGGGGAGCACTTGGGATCTCAGGGTGAGGCTTCAGGGTGAGAGTTTTACCTTGCAGATTTCAATTGGCCAGGAACTCCTCCTTTAGAGGTTCCTGCAGCAGTGTTTACTTTTTTTGCTCAGCAGGTTGTGTGGGGCTTTGCTGAGGGCCATGTTTGGGCCCCTCTGCACCTGTTGAGGTTAGAGTAGTATGCTAGAGACCCAGGGGTGCTTGGCTCCCAGCCTTTTCTTTACACATGTGAGGGAGCTGAGGCTGCTCTTGGGAATATGGCTTGCCAGTGAGTCATGCAGAGCCCAGACCTGGCCCAGGGTCTCCAGGCCTTGCGGTTCGCGTTGCTCTCCATGCTCAGCCTCCCAGCCAGGCTCACTAGCAGCACAGCAACTGAGGTGTGGCGTTGGGGTCCACCCTGGCTGCCGACTGACTCCCACGGGCTTCCTCTTTTCCGGTGGCCATAGGTGCTGGAGTTTGGCTGGCCTGACTTGCACACCCCGGCTCTGGAGAAGATCTGCAGCGTCTGCAAGGCTGTGGACACTTGGCTCAATGCAGACCCACACAATGTCGTCGTCCTGCACAACAAGGTCAGAGCGAGCCTGCAGTGTGTGTGGGCGAGTGCATATGTGTGCATGTGTGTGTGGCCGGATGTGTCCCTGTGGGAGTGTGTATACCCAGATGTGTTTCTGCAGCAGTGTGTGTCCCTGCCTGTGTCCTTGGACTGTTCGCCTGCACGTCTACCTATCTTCACCATTCTGAGGGATGATAGATTCTGTCTCAGGGGCATCTCCAAGAAGTGGGAGTGCCAGCTGTGTCCCCAATAGTGGGGGACCTTCGCACTTCCTCCTCAGCTCTCCCCAGGAACTGCACCCCACTTTCCAGCCCCTGTGTTCTTTCCTTCTGGGCTTCTGTGTGGTCACTGGGGCAGCCTTAGAAGTAAAGGTTGTCTTTCTCTTTCAGGGAAACCGAGGTAGGATAGGAGTTGTGATCGCGGCTTATATGCACTACAGCAACATTTCTGCCAGGTAGGAGGGCCTGAGTGTCTTGCCCCTGATCGCTGATAGCATGACTCTCCTCCTCCTTCCCCCTGTGGCCCTGGGGTGGTAGGGTCTGATAAAGGGGATGAGAGGGAACAGGGGGTGTAGGAGCCCAGAACAGGAGAAAGAACTGCCCACAGTGTTAAAGGCAGGAGCCCATGGGAGGAGAGAGGAGAATCTGTCCCCTCTCTGGGGCCCTGTGGGGACAGCCTTGGGAAGTGTGGCTCTGAGCACCCTACCCAGTCAGCCTCTTGGGGCCACCTGGTTTTTTTCCAACTGCCTTCTCTTTCCCTGGTGAGCAGGGTGGGAGTCAGAAAGAAATGTTGGATCAGGCCTAGGCTTGGTAGAACCATCTAGAAGTTATCTCTTCTGCCTCTCTGCTGCTCACCAGCAGGGCTTTCTTACTGTCCAGGGGTCATGGAGCAAGAATAGGGAGCAACTGGTGGCCAGTTC